AGCCATAGACTTTTGGGGTTCTTTTCTATTACACATAACCTCCAAAGAAAAGTAAAATGAATGAGTTTTTTCTTATTTCTGTTGTTCAAACCAAATGAAGTTCAAATAATATAATCAGATCAGTGATTCAAAATAGCTGACACGAAAATATTTTAATATAATAATCTAAGCTGAAATGAAGAACTAAATTGAAGACTGATGCTTTTGAAAGTATTTTTAGAATTGTAGGCACCACTGATTCACCAGAAGATTTTAAGTTTCTGGAATTTTGGTTTAAAAAAAAATTTTTGAAATGGAAGGGAGTCAGGAAGTGAGAATTGATCTGGGGAGGAGGTTTTTGGGTTTTTGCTTGAAGTGCTATGTTGTGTGATCAAAATTATCTATGGCTCTTTAATGAGTTAGAGAAAATAACATTAAGTCAAAAAATTAAGTGTTACTTCTAATGCACAGGTTTACTGACCAATTTGGAACACTGTGTTTTAAAATAATTTTATAACTTCATGTGGAGATGGTAGTGTTGAGCAGCCAATATGATTTTAACGTCTCATTTTCTATCACTAGATTCCTTCGGTTCAGAGCCTAACTTGGATTTTAGTGGCGGACTGAATCGAGTGAGCCAGCATGATATAGAACAGGTGAGGTGTGACAGACTGCTGAAAAGTACAGAATGTGCTTGATTACCATACAGCTATTGAGAGCTGTCTGACGGTTTTCCCACCTCTGAACAACCTGTGGTAACACCCAACAGGATCTAATTCAATTTAGGATTAAAGAAATGTTGCAAAATTTTTTTGGAAAGTATTGTGAAGCAAGTAGCAGTTGTGCTGCTGCACATATACTTTCAAGTTTTAATAGAAAAAGTTAAATGAAAAATGAGCTAGACTTGCAAAACAAACAAACAAATCATTCTTTTTCTCTTGTAAACTAGTCAAATGCTATGTATTTTTTAATAACAGCTTTCTGAAAACATCACTTATGCTTGAAAGACTTGCAGTGTCAGGATTCCCAATTTTCTGTGGCTGTTTACTACAGGTCAGCTGCAGCTAGGCTGTAGAGAACTGAGATCAAAAAGGGTAACAGAAACTGAGGAGACTATAAAATGTGAATGCTAGCAAAGAAGTGATTTCTGCTTACACAGCAATTTGTGTAAATCCAAATTTACACGGTGATTTGTGTAAATTTGTTGCAGAGGTGGCAGGAAAAAAAAGATCACTTTTATTAATAAATCCCGCTGACACTTCATTTATGTCCAGAAAAAAACTCTGCTTGAAAACATGTGCAGTTTCAAATACCTTTATAAGCTCAAGAATTGTAAGAACAGTTGTATGTGTTTTTTGTGATGAGTCATCCGTCTTTATTTTACTTTTGAACAAATGAAATAATACGGTAACATCTTGCTAAAATACCTAGAATGTAATTAATTTTTTTTCAGGGATTGTTTACATATGTATTAATGAAAAAATGTTGTCTATGCACATGGACTCTTAACTCCTGAACAGTCCTTAAAGGACTAGGAAAATTTTAATTGGAAGAAGTGTTTGTATGACTATAACTGAAGAAGCTGAATTGTGTAAGACTGTCTGATTCCTCAAAGAGGAATTTAATTCCTACAGCTTGGAGAGATTGTAAAGTGCTAATATTTGGATAATTTGTAAATGCTCTGAGTCGCCCAAAAACCTGTAGAAAGGCTATCCATTATATGATTTAGAGAGAAAAACGTAAGGGAAGAGTGCAAGTAGTACTTAGGAGAGTCAGAAAAAGCATACTTTTGAAAGTGCTTTAGAGTAGAAGCCATGGTAAAGGGTTGATAGGTAATTGATGATGGATAAGCAGACATTCCAGAAAGAGAAGATTTTGTACTGATGACTGCCACAAATCTCTGTTTCTCAGCTTCAGATTGAAGCCACGAACAGCTTTGGTGAATCTCTGCAGAAGAAGCTTCTGGACATCGAAGGGTTATATTCTAAGGTTCGGTCACGATACACCTTTATTCAAGCTCTTGTTAGACGTATCCGTGGTCTCCTAAGGATATCAAGGACCTAAAAGACACTGATACATGTTGCTTGCCCCTTGAAGCAATGTACTAGGGCAGGCCGCCTGCATCATCAGATTTTATAGATCATACATTTTCTAAATGATGTCAAAAATATTTTGTTACTTTTTTTCTTATCCCTATGGATCAGTTTTGTGTATTCTTTCCTACTGCTCCCAACTTGAAAAGAAAAATAAAGGATTGTTTTTAACTGAGTTATGATTACTGTAAAACTTCAAGCAAGAAAGAATTCTAAAGGATGTAAAGGAAACAAAAGGGGTTCTGCAGCTGTGATGATACTGCATCTATGGGTGCTTTCAGAGAAGACTGAAAGGTCTGTGTCTGTTCATGCTGCTCTTGCTTCACACACAGGTGTAGTGAGAACAAGGGTTCCAAGTTCCAGCGGGCAGTGTAATCACTCCTTGCTGTGGATTCTGGGTGAAAGGTGACCATTTTGCACTGTGAACGGCTTGTTTCTGCTCCCCCTTGCCCTGCCCTAGTGGAAGCTGCTTCTCTTTCGATGAGTCTAGATAAGAGAAAAAAAATTATGGGGAAGTTGTGGAAGTGACTGTCTTGGGTTTGGTTCTTAGGGCTTGGGGCAGTAAAGTTTGCTGTGCTGTCCTTGCTGGAACAGGAGGGTAAGGACAGAATGAAATGTGTGAGGAAGCGGCCAATATGCCAGAGTAGCAGATTGGTTCTCTAGTTACAGGTTGTTCTCATAAGAGATATTCACATCTCCTTGTCTCTGATTTAAAAAAAAAAAAAGGTGTAACCACTGATTATTGATGTAAGATCTCTTGGATTTCTCCTTATTGCACTGTCTGGTCTTAAAGCTCAGTTCTCCATGCGTGCCTGGTAAGTTCTGCCTCCCCTGAGTTTTCATTACTTACTCTTCGGTACCTTCTATGATTTTGTACTTACCTGCAGAAACTGATTACATAGATGGGATCATCTTTGGTGCAGGAAGGTGACAGCCCTGCTCTCAGCTGAAGGTTACTGGCTGGTCCGTAGGAACAGTGAGCTACGAGTGGTTTACGCAGTTGGGCTTTGCTGGTCCTCCACAGAGCAGCTCTCCCACCCCGGTGAAACCCAGGCAGCACCGTCCGGCGTTTCCCCTTGAACACGGGGGCGTAACCGCAATGCTGCGGCCTCGGCGGCTCTCGCCCTTCCAGGCGCCAGCAGGCCGCTGCCTGGGCGATCGGTAATGTGCGCGCCCTCCGGGGCCGCTGCCCCCG